CTTGATGAGCATAAGAGACTTCTTTAAAAAACATTACAAGTCTTACTGATCCCAAACTTTTGGCCGGTAGTGTGTGTGTGTGTGTGTATATGTATATATATTATATATATATATATATATATATATACACACACACACACACACACACACACACACTGTATTTAATTAATACAAATTACAGTAAAAACAATAATATTGTAAAATATTATTAAAATAACTGTTTTCTATTTGAATATGTTTTCAAAGTGTAATTTATTCTTGTGATGGCAAACCTGAATTGTCAGCATTATTACTCCAGTCTTCAGTGTCAAGTGATCCTTCTGAAATCATTCTAATATGCTGATTTGGTGCTCAAGTATCATTTTGTATTATCATCAATGTTGATAACATTTCAAAATATTTTTGTGGGAATGGTGATATATTTTTTTCAGGATTCTTTGAGTAGAAGGTTCAAAAGAAAATCATTTTAGATTTACTTTTATACTTCTGATTTTACACTTTTATTTGAAAATAAAAAAATCATGAAAAAAAGAGATTTTCATCATGTGACAACATTAAATTGTTCTCAGATACTGTTGAGTTATGTTTAGTAATATTGTGAAATTCAATTCATGTTTCTCTCTATTGACAGTTTTTCCCTGTGCCTCTGCAAACTCTCTCAAAAAGGATTGTTCAGTCCAGACTCAACAGCACCCTGGTTGGGGTTTTTACAACCGTCCTGGTCTTTCTCTCCGCTTTCATTAACATTGTGAGTCTCACAACAAGTCTTAACCTCAGGATTGTGTGCCTTAATGCCTCTGATATTTAGTTATTTCATACATTACATCTGAAAATATTTAAAGACTTTCAGGTGTAAAGAGAGAATTGCAAAAAAAATTGAAATCTATTTAAAAAAATTGAAATAGTTTTGCAATCATGTATAGTGTTGCTAGTGGCGCTGAAATCATATAGTTTTAAGTAATTGACTTTTAACATTGAAGTGCTTCACAGTTTGTTAATGTGATCTGTAGTGATTAAATGAAATACTGTCATGTACTTTTATCTGAGAAAATGTTTGTCTGTCCTGTAGTTTACCTGCAGTACGGATGACCTGAAGACATGTTTAGGGCAGGAGTTAAACATCAGCCCCAGCGTTGTAAATGCTTGCCATGTCCGCAGCTCTTCCTTCAACTACTCTCTCTGGTCTCAGGGCAGCCTCTGCAACAGCTTGTCACCCACCTGCAATTTCCCAGAGGTGTGGCACTGTTCTCAGATCAGTTTAGTTTTGTAACATAGTGAATAGTTTAAGGAATAGTTCACCCAAAAATGTACTCAACTTCAGGCCATCCAAGATGCAGATGAGTTTGAGTTTTGAAATTTAGCATTACCTCACTTGCTCACCAAAGGATCCTCTGCAGTGAATGGGTGCCGTCAGAATGAGAGTCCAATGAGTCCAAACAGCTGAAAAAAACCTTATAATACACAAGTAATTCAAAACGACTTCAGTCCATCAATTAAGTTGGTTTTTAACTTCGAACCATTGCTTCTAGTTGGAATACGAGTCCTCTATCCATAATATTACTTTCTCCAGTGAAAAAAGTAATGAATCGTCTGAATCAGGAGAGAAATATCCACAGATCAAGCGTTGTTAACTAGCAAAAACAGTCCAAAACAGTTCTAAACTAATATGTTGGTCGATTTTGATGTGAGAGCACAACAGGGGATGTACTTTTTTGTATTGGAGGATACGTTATTGAATTAAGTTCAAACGTCTTAATTACGGATTTGTTTATTAGAAAAATGCAGCTTTTCGCTTCACAAGGTTATAAACTCATCATCTTGGATGGCCTGAGGGTGAGTACATTTTCAGCAATTGTTCATTTTTGAGTGAACTATTCCTTTATATAGTCCGTGAGCAGCTTGGACTAGCTACTAACTCATTTGGACCTGCTTGAAACTAGCTAATAGTACCATGTTCCATGCCTGACAACTTAAATCGATATTTTCCAGCAGTGATAGGCCTTTACATTTATTTTTCATAGTTGTAATTTTAGGCACTGCTCTGAAATGCTTGTCTTTTGATAAATCATATATAGAATAAGTTAAGGGGAAAGAGAGACTAATGCCTGAATGTTTTTCTCTTTCGACAGTATTTCTCTTCATGTGTGCTGCTCAGTTTACTGGCCTGCTCAGTGTTCCTACAGATCAGCAGTATTGGTAAACTCTTCCTCATGCTCTTCATTGAGATCCTGTACGTGCTCATCATGGAGGTGCCTGAGGTCAGCCTTTTTGACAACGTGGACCTGCTGGTCATGGCCAATGCTATGTGAGTATCTAGATTTTAGGCTAGTTGCACAATTACTTGGATCAGCATCGCCCTCCTCATCATCATCATTCCTATCATATACTCTATAGAAAATTTCGATTTTTTTTTTTTTTTTGAACATTAAGGTTGTCTTGTGTTGACTTTTTTTTTATTTTTTTTTATGGATTGTTAGAACATGTCCCTACCAAATTTAAGGGACTGCTAAATATTCCCTAACATGTTTTAGATCACAGTTGTGACTGAATGCAATACACACACACATATACACACACACACACACACACACACACATATATATATTTATATATATATATAAAAGTTTGGGGGTTTTTTTACATTAAAAAAATTGTTTTTGAAAGAAATCTGCTCGCAAGGGCTGCATTTATTTGATAAAAAAACAGTAAAACGGTAATATTGTGAAATATTACAGTTTAAAATATATATTTTCCATTTTAATATATTTAAAAATTTATTCCTGTGATGCAAAGCTGAATTTTTTTTACTTAATTACTCAGTCCCCAGTGTCACATGATCCTTCAGAAATCCTTCTGATATGCTGATTTTTTTCCTCAAGAAGCATTTCTTATTATCAATGTTGAAAGCAGTTGTTCTGCTTAATATTTTTAGTGAAAACCGTGATACATTTTCTTTCAGTACTCTGATGAATAGAGTTCAAAAGCATTTATTTGAATTTAATCTATCTTTGCTGAATAGAAGTTTTAATTTCCAGACTTTTGGACAGTAGCATAAGTAGGCACAGTATCAATTTTCACAGTATCAATTGCTGTAATTCAGTCAACTTTAGTTTACAATGATATATAGCCATGATAATGAATCCTCTGTTGAATGTTTACTTGCTGGTTTGTCTTATCAGTTGAACATAAAGTGTTGTCTGCTGTGCTCTGTCCATCTGATACATTTGCTTTTTCTTTCTCTTCACAGAGAGTATATTAATGGAACAAGGTAAGATAAAATCAATGAAATATAAACCCAGATCTCAAAGAAATGGCAGTGAGCATGTTGTTTTTATTGCATGACTATAAAGATTGCCGTCACCATAGGAATGAATGAATGAATGAATGAATGAATGATATTAATCATGTTAACAGATTAACATGTATGTGATTTGATTTGAATGCTTTGTAGCGTCTGGACCAATCAAACACACAATTTTTCATTTGATTATCAGGAAATTAACGTTCTTAGAATTGACAGACAGTTGACCCTGAGAGGTCAGCTAAATATCTACAGCGGATCTAAATATTTATAATTAATTATAACTAGTTATGATTAATTATTCATATTTCCCCATGAGCTGATTCGCAACAGCTTTATCATGCTGTTGCCTTTTAGTGTGAAATCATTGATGCTCAGCGCTCTGTATGTTGTAGCTGTGTGACAGACACGCGGGTTCCTCTAAAGATCATGACTCCAGTCGTCATCACGGTCTTTGTGCTGGCGCTCTACCTTCATGCACAGCAGGTGGAGTCTACAGCCAGACTGGATTTTCTCTGGAAGTTACAGGTCTGTTTATCTTTGTATGACTTTGCAATAATGCAGATATTTTGTGAAAAGCTGTTAAATATGTATTGCCGTCCATCAAATATTCAAAGGTCTGGGGTCTGTAATTTTTAAAGGAGCAAGGATATATATATATCATTTTGGAAAAGTGACTATATAGATGTATACATGGGTGTACAGCAGCATAACAGTACCAAGCAGCACTAAATCAGCATATTAGAATGATTAATGAAGGATCATGTGACACTGAAGACTGGAGTAATGACTGCT